ATAAAAAGGAAATGCTTTATTAACACCCAAAGGCATGCTGGTGGAAATAAATGTAAACAAGTGTTTATTTTCCTTCAGTATTTGTGGGTAAACTATTCCAGAGTGCTCCACATCCCCGCCTCAATCCTCCTCCTAACCGCTCTTTTGTAGTGGGAAGACCCTCCGGAGGGAGAACACGGCAGCAGCACTTGAGTCGGACCTCGGTAGCTTTGCAGACTTCTCAGACAAAGCGCCTAAATCTACCTGTAGGCATCACATCACTGCTCTTACTTTAAGGCCGGGTGTGATGAGAACTGGGCTTTCTAGAAAAGAAAAAAAAAAAACGGTTTTCCCCAAGGCGAGCCTGGGGCAGTTTGGCTGCCCATCAAACACGGAATTCTCTAAACAGGATGGAAAACAGCCCATCAGGTTTCTCCCAGAGGGTCGGGCCCTCTTACCGCTCTTCGTGATGGCGGCCGGGTCAATAACATCGCTTCGTTTGTACACAAAGCTGCTTTTTACGTGTTTGGCAGCTGATCTGATGATGGACCGGCATTGTGGTGAAAGACTCGAAAACAAATACAAGAGTACACACTTCATACCCGTAGAAACCATAGAGTACCACTTCAGTGTAGTCCACTGTTCTGTTTGGATTTCCCTACTGAGACTTGAGATTTCGTTGGACCCTGAACAGGTTCACGTCACCCTGTGACAAATGCAGCCGAGCAGCCCGGATCAGAACCGAGCCTCCTCAATGTTTTACAGGATATATGTTCTTCTCTTACACGCTGGTCTAAAATGTGTAGGGATGGTTCAATCAGAATAAAATCACTGGATCTTGGAGCTCAGGCTGAACAGTTTTGGATGTTTTCTGGGCTTTTTCTACAATCATGTTTCTGACCAACCTGGGGCCACACTTTGTCCTTGTCCAGGGAGGTTGTCTACAGCCCAGTGGACAATAAAGCAGTAAGAGGAACATCAAGGTGCTTGAAGATGAGATGGTCTTCTAGCCGTTACCATTAAAGGTGTGGTTCACTGTTTTTTCATGCAGGCTGAACATGAAAATAGTCTCCTACACCCATCTCCTGCATTAGCTTCCGATAGAAAATAGACTGTGAAGCTCTAGGATTAGAAAAGCCTGACAGATCTACGTCACACTGTGAATTCCCATTCGTGGACGCGCCCATCTTGACTGATGACGGGGAAGGCTGTTGTTGGGTTAGTGTCCAGAAAACAGCTGAGAACATCTAGACTAGAAGAAGCTAACAGTTGGCATTAGCAACTCCATCACACAAAAAAACTTCTACAGGCTTTTATTTGTGGAGATAAAGCATCAGCGCTGCAAGTCAGCGGTAGGGTTGCATTGCTGTTATCCAATCCAAGGTGAGATGTCCAAATATCAGGAAATAAGACTCCAAATCCTGCCGCCTGAAGCTCAGCTGTGATTGGACTCACATGGGCCCAATCCCAATACTCGCACTTCGACCCTTGCACCCTTCAAGTGCGCGATCCCGACCAGGGGTGCGAGTGCGTAGGGTGTCCTGATTCTCAAGTTGATCACCCCCATTTGCACCCTTGATCCGCATCTCACCAATGTGGACTTGGGTGAAGGGTATTACCCACAATACATTGCTGCTGGAGAAAAGGCTCAAATGCCTTTTCTGAAAATTTGTATTTTCTAATGAAAATAGTTCATTTTGGGACGATTAATTGAAGCTCTAAAACATTTAGACAAAGCAGCAATGAATGCAAATATATTTCAAATAATTGTTTGTTTGAAAGTTACGTTTTTTTTAAATGTATCACGGCAACCAGCATGCGTTGCATTTGATGACACAATGCTCCTAGTCTCAATTCAGCAATTATTTGCACACTTGGGTACTACGCACTTGAAGCCTTACTGTGCACTTTCTGCAAGTGCACTTGGCTGAAGGCCGCAGTGCGAGTATTGGGATTTGGCCTTCTAGCTTCTGAAAAGGGTGCACCAGTGGTTTTCCTCCCCAGAGTACGACTTACAAGGCATCCATTCCTACTAGAGACCACCGCAGATGGAAGCACACACTTTAAACAGGCGGGTGACTGATTGCACGATTAAAGACACATGACGTCAATTACAGGACACAACTAGAGTTTAATGTCCATGTTGTGAATCATTTTCAGTCTTCTCTTGGGTTATTTTTTTGTTCAGTCCTCTCAGTTGTTACAAAACGTTAATTTGCTCAACAATTATAGTAGTTTGTATTCATAACTTTGCTGGTTTCAAGACATTTTGTGGACCAACTGTGTTATTCTTTAATGGAAGGGTACCTGACCCCTATCATGTCTGCCGAACGCAAAGACGATACGTCAACAAGAGAATCTTTGGTGTGTTTAGGAAGTAGGAAAACAGAAATCTCGGCTAAATTTATATTACTTCTACTTTCAACATAACTTCAGAGTATTTTTCACTGCAAGCGCAGAAACATGTAGACCTTCAAAACTTTTATTTTTCACCAGAAATTATTTCCAATATATAAAGATCAACACACAAAAGTATTTCCTTTCCAAAAGCATTTTAAAAAATGTTCTCCTGGATCAGTGAATTAATACAAACATACAATATTTATTTTAACAAAAAAAAAAGTATATATATATATATAAATAAAAATAAAAAAGCTTAAACATGGAAATCTGTCCATGGTGCTTCCTGGTCTGTCAGCTCGGCTCTGCAGACTCTGGTACTTCAGACTGTGTCTGCTTGCTAAGTCGTGCAGTATGAAGGGACTTAAGAGAGAGGCCTTATTGATCGTCTTCTATGAGTGAAGTCCAGGCATTAGTTCCAGCAGGGTGAGTAGACAGCTGTCTGTGAGCCACTCTGCTGGGCCAACATAGCAGGGCTGAGTGGAGCTGGGACGTGCACTTTTGATTTTGATCTCTCCAACATCACTTCTATTGACTGACGCACTGTCCTGTGCTTTACTTGATGGGAGAAGCACTTGCTGAGGCCTCGCTGGAAGCCCGGACACGAGCCACCATCGCATTACCAGGGATGCTCTTGACAAGCTTGTGATGATGAAACTTCCACGCTCTGTTGAGACCTAACCCTAATCACTGCTGTCATCTGCTGGCAACCACCGTATCCACTGATCACGACATGATGTGGGTTATCGTGGGGGCCAGGACTGAGAATCCAGTTATCTGGTTGTGCATTAAACATTCAGGCTCTCCAAAGTTGGAAAGGAAATTCCAACTGCAGTCAAAGCAGTAAACTCTCTCTCCTTTGTTAATTTCAAAACCACTGACCTATTTTTTTTTTTGCCTAGACCCAATTGTTGAAATAAAAACAATTTTCAATATATGCTGAAATCAAAATGGCAATTAAGCATTTTTTTGTTTTGAAAAGTTACTTTAAATGATTGTGCACCAGTCCTCAAATGTGTAAATCAGCCTTTTATGTACAAATGATGAAATGATAACACTAAAGAAAATGAGCAACAAGACTGCTCAATGTAGCACATTTCTGTTGATGTAAGAGGATTTGTCGGTGCTTTCAAATGTTCTAAGAAACTGAAACGTGTGAGGAGGTTCTGCTTCGTCGTGGTCCCTTACAATGTAGCACCTGTGCATGAATTGAAACCCAAAGCACCATTTTAATCTAAGTAATCCATAAATAATAATCCTTCCAACTTGAACAAAAAGGACCTATGGTAACTTCTGCCATCTAGTGGTTAATACACAAACAGCAGAAAAGGGCCCTAAAGTGCTTCTGAAGGACCCCTGAACTTACAACCTTCAGTTAAGAGTCCATACTGTTCTTGTCTTCAAGGTTAGTATAACACAACAAAAAAAAGTCTTGTTGGACCATAAAGCCTAGCGTGTCTGTCTGCGCCCACCATTACTGGAGGACATCGTTTTGCGGGCACTCAGCAGTCGTCGGCCGTCCTCGTAGTCGTCTTGGTCAACACTGATCAGAAGGCGGACTCCCTCAGAGCCTGCGGCCATCCTCAGAGAGTCGGTGATGAAAACCCCCTTTAAGGCTTCCAACAGCGCTCCGCTCAGGTAGTCCCCCCAGAATGCCTCGAGGTTGTCCAGCTCCGTGAACTTGATGTCGCAGACGATGGAGCCCAGGTCTCGGGCGTGCAGCAGCGAGTTGGCGCGACTGAACAACTCAAACTGCCTCTCCAGCGGCTGCCGCTTGTCTGAGGAGACGGCATCACGCAGGGCTGACTCGTGCTCCAGGTACTCCGCACGAACGCGAAGGCGGATATCTGATAATGGTGAAAGGCGTGGGGGAGGGGGGACAGCAGTGGAAAGACGCGTGGTGGGCAAAAGTCAGAACAGGGAGTGAATAGAAGGTGGGGAAAGAGAGAGGGAAGAAAGACAAGGAGGGAAATTTTGAGGGGGCATGAAGTCAAAAGAAAGGAGAGAGAAAGAGAAACATTAGAAAGAGGCTAACAACGGATTATTCAGGTTAAATACATCAGCTCGGGGTATTTAAAGGGGGGCCGAGTTTCCATTAGATTGTAACCCAATGGGTCGTCTTCACACAGAAGTAATCAGACAACGAAAAGGGAAATGCTTGATTCTGAATTTGAGCAAACTGAATAATTCTGGGAACTTGAGTTAGACCAACCCATCTGAGAGCTGCCCCCAACTTTGTCTGGGTGAAAATCAATGGGATAGTTCAGAGCAATGAAAGAGATACTCATCTGATGCAGCTGTGAGGCTCCGTTTCTTGGTCGGGCAATTCTATGAATTTGAATATATTTTTGGTTTTTCCAGCTGTTAACAAAACGGTTGAGACAGAGGAAATCGAAGCAAGAGAACTTTCAGTGAGATAACTTTTAAAGTCCACATACAACTGGGCTTTGCATTGAAATGAACTTGATACCTTGGGCAAATGTTCTGAATAAGCTTTGTTCCCTCAGCACAGAGCTTAAAGCATGAAGATGTGTTCTGATTTCAACGTTTAACACTGCGATTTTTGACTTCCGGGCTAACAGGACTGATGGTCATGCAACAGCACATCGAGAAAATTATTAGAGCATACATACTGAGCTGAGCAAGAGCAACGCTGAGATCATCTCCCATGTCAATATTCCAGAGCTCCAAGTGGAAACCAGCTGCTGACGACTTTTGCTGCAACAAAAACCCATCTCTCCCAATCACATCCTTCGAGGAGACTCAAACGGCACGTGTCAACACATTGATAGGCTGTGCAGAATGGTTTCTAAACCAGATTTAGTTTAAAAAGAAGTAAAAGAATGTTTAATTAGAAACTCCAGCAACACTATAAACTTAAAGGTGCAGTGTGTAAGAATAACGTAAGACTGTGGTCAGATTAGGTTCCTGCAGTCACTCTCCCACTCCTGGGTTAGCATGTAGATGTTGACAAGCAAAGATGAGTCAGTCATACACCGTAAGCTGATAAGTAGAAAAATACATAGTCATGTCTGGTGCTTGCCCTCTTAGGTGTTTTACAGTAGGGAGCACTTACTACACTTATTACGGTAATATGCCTACAGAGTAGAGTGTTATTTACCATCTTGCTAGCTCTGAACGACTCATTAAAGAAAGTAAAGTGCCAAGTTTGACTCAATAACCTCACATACATTTCACTGTAATATCGAGTTGGTCATTGAAAAAGTAGCTTGAGATATTTTTAGAGCCAACTTTTGCATCTAATTCTCCGTTAGCATTCTTAGCTCACCGTTAGCTTCTAACCATGATATTAGAGTCAAACAAAAGGATGCTGTGGCTTCTTAGGGGACCAGAAATAACTTTAGTCGCTATTGTTACTGACTGTTTTTTTTTCAAACTCACGGCAACCCTAAACTCACTAATGGAAAACAGTAGCTGCGTCCTAGGAAAACGGACAACTCCCGCAGGCGGCTGAGAATGAAATACGCTTCACCATCACCTTCCTTCCAACATGATTGAGACATTGGAAGGTTGTGTGATTATTTCGCCGTAGGAATCTCGTTTCATTCTTACACACTGCACCTTTATGCTAAACTTTTAAAAAGCCTTACAAATCTGATCTGAAAAGTGATCTTAATATAAATAATGAGTCCATCCCTTCATATAACTAGATTTACCTTTAGATAAAAAGACAAACAGGTTGCTACAACATCAGGTGGACTGAGTTTTATTCATTTTGAGGTCATAACAGAAAATTTAAAAAAATTAGCTCAAAGAAAACAGTTCAATGTGCAAAAATAAATATTTTAATTAAAGGATGCATTTGTATAAATGGCCTGTTTCACTTTGGGAGTCACATCCTGCTTCTTTGCAGCCGTATTTTCTCAGAGACCACGGTGAGGGGTACAACACTCAAGAGGAATCAGGTTTAGAAAATGCCAACATTAGAAATGCAAATGTTGAATTAAGGCATTGATTTTGCATCTCTTAACATTTGAAGGGGAGCGATAATCAAACAGTGGCGTTTGCATGCATGCTTCACGAGTCTGTAATTAGATTACTATAGAAACAGAAGACTGGATGAAATGGGACATTTAATCAATACGGTTTGAAAAACTTTTTAAATATTCAGAGTTGGTTGGATTGTCCAATTGAAAAGCCTCTTGCAGATGAATCTACACTTCAGTTTCTTACATATAAAGATGAAGACAAATGTGATTCTTCATAATCACATTTGGTTGTCGGCGAAACATTTTCAAACGATGTCTCAGTATCTTAACAAAAATTTGTTATTAAGACACAAACACATAATTTTGATTCATTACAGTAAAACCTTGTTACACAGCAGGTCATGAGTTGCAATAAAAAAGTAGCTTTACCCTCGCATCACCCAATTTTTATGTTTTATTATTTTACAGCTTCAACGGTTGACCAACATCTGGTCGTTTTATCGCTTCATAAAATCTAACTTTATAGAAGCTACAAATATCAACGGATATCTGATGAGAATAAATGTCCAATAAATGTCTTAAAGCTACTTTCAGTAACACGTTAGAGTATAAAAACATATTTAGAAGTGAATAAAAGCTATTTTTTATTAAGAGGGAAGATTACTGAAGGAAATCTAGGTTTTCAAAGTGGACATAGACTTTTGTAAGAAATGCACATGGAAGGTTCGTTTTAGGACGGCATCTTTAATATTTAAGCAGATATGCTAATAGCGTCACTCTGCTGAAAGGCTTTGCTGTTCTAGGTCGATTCAAAACTCCAAACTATCAAGTAAAATGTACTTTTTGTTCATTCGTGTTATGCAATAACTTTAAAGAAGTCCAAGGGCGGATGTGTTTTAATGAAAATTTGATGCTTAACAGTTTGAGACTGACGGTGATTACAGGATGTGAAAGAACCAAATCCTTTTTATTAACCAACCTCTTTAGATCATTTTGGTATGGTCTAGGGCTGCACAATATAAGGAAAACCTGCAATATTCGATAACAGTGCTTAATATTGCGATATCGATATTACTCACGATAAATGAACAAAAACTAAAGTATGCAGTGTTGATGTCGTCTGGCGTGTGACGTCTGCTCTGGGTTCAAAGCAAACAAAAACTAATGCATGAATTCCATTACAGCATACCATTTTTATTGCAAAATTATGCAGCTGCACCTGCTGCTGTATTAGCAGCAAAACAACAAACTGCATGCATGCAGTTTCTCAGTGACTTTAAAACATCACCTCCACCATAAAACTTTTTCTGATGCTCCAAATACAGAAAAACATCCCTTACCAGGGTTCTTAGAATAAATAAAAATATCAGAAAATAAGTTTAAATGTTAAATAATAGTTAACATCACTTAAATGCAACAGCAAATTCTCTCATTGCTACTGAACATTTTCTCCACTTATGTGGTTATGATATAAGGCTGTCGCTGCTATTGGGAAGTGAACTGTGCCGGGCCAAACTAGGAGGATATTAAGATTTTCTGAGGGAAAGAGAAAAACAATTGTCTACCTTTCAGAAGAGGAACTGGCAAAAAACTACATGGAAAATATGTGAAAACGTTTGTTTTTAACCCCAAATTGAACAAGTTTACCTGGATCTTAAAAAGCAGCTCAGATGATGAAACTGCAACTATGATTCTGATAACAAGCTAACAAATTGAACTAGCTCCTCTTAAGATAACCAGCTAGCAGAGCTTCTGACTGACAGTTTATGTGCAGCAGCAAATCAACTATCCTGATTAACAAGGTTATAAAAGCTCATGAATGAAAAATCACTTTGATGTGTGGGGGAACTTTTCCAGGCCCTCTTTAGCAGGGTGGGACTGGGAGGAGAGTGCTGTAGCCTTTTAGCTGGAAACTAACCGGAGCCTGGGGCTAACATCACCACCCAGTGGAACACTAGCGACATGAAGGTGGGTTGGTTCACCAGCACGTGTCGGAGTCAGCCCGGTAAAAATGATTAACGGCACAGAGCGGACTCACGTTCACGTTTGATAGCAACGCTGATTCCAGAAACCTCAGCACAAAGTGCGTTCATTGCTCTGAGCCAGCATGACGAACAAGGGAACGGCACCGCTAACTCGTTTGGGTGTTGCTTTCCATCCTAAGGGTCTATGTAGGGGGCGGGCGTATTACGTGAACAGACCCATCTGATTGGCCGCATATCAGAAGGGCTACATTTGATTGGTCAAATAATACTTCCGCATAAAAAAGAGCTGGTTTAAAAAAAGTTGATGTATGACACAGATGGAAACGTTGAACCAAACATTTATCGCCGTTTCTGACGTGCTTTGCGATGGGCCTATCGCACGTCCTGTTTTACCGATGACGATAATTTTTCGATATATTGTGCAGCCCTAGTATGGTCCAAATGAACACTCAAAAGTCTTGTTAAAAAGACCATTTTGATCACTACACCATCTGATTACAGAGGCTAGAATAAAACACCTGCCCTCCTGGTAATTACCACATTTATGGATGGCCTCCATTTCACACGAGCAGGATAGAGGTACAAGCAGCGACACAGAGGAGACGGCCATTTAAAGTCACAGGAACTCAGCGATAGTCATTCTGTTAGGGTTACAGAGCTCTTCACGCTTCATCAGACACAGAGACACCCACTTAGACGGGACATTAGGAGGCACAGTTTTCATTTCTCACTTTAAACACAAGACCGTTTGAGTTTCTCATCTCATCCACCAGGAAAAAAAAAACTTTAAGTACCTATTTATGAGGAGTCAGTCGGCACAGAGAGCTTCAACTCTATCGATCCATTTTTCTGCTGAACAACTGACCAAGAGAATGAAACGCTATGGGAGGATCTGAGAGACAGGAAGACAGA